AGGAAGAATTCTTTTCCAGTTCCCTATCGATATATATATATATATATATATATATATATATATATATATATATATATATATATATATATTATATATATAATGTAATATACATAATATATATATATATATTATATATATATATATATATATATATATATATATATATAATATATATAATGTATATATATATGGCTCATGGGGAAAGAGTGCGTCTAAGTTCCTTAAGGAGCTAGGCAAAAGACTCATCAGGGTAACTAGGGATCCCAGGGCAGCTAGTTTTCTATTCCAGCGACTCAGCGCTGTTGTTCAGAGGGGTAATGCCTGCTGTATCTTGGTCACGCTCCCCAGCTCTGCGGTGCTGGATGAGATTTTCGCATCATAATCAGTTACAAACACGTAACGTTGTGTACTAGACATGTGCCTCTCACCTCATGTACTGTACATGCCATCTTTATACCAACAATGTGTCTCTCAAATCGTTTGTATCATATTATACAATAAAATATATCTATTGGTAAACAAAATGAAAAGATGGGGTGGCATGGGAAGTGGAATATTCAAATGGCTTCAAGAAGAAATCCAATTATTTTTTCTCGAAGCCTTTTTATCCACTTCTCCGAGGCAACGAGTCCCACAATTTGCACCAGAGGTGGACATGTGTGTGTATATATATATTAAACTATTTGTTCGCCTATATAGGTTGCAGCGGTAGAGTCACAGCTCCTGGCCCAGCCTCTTCGATGGTCGCTGCTAGACAATGAGAAGCATACGAACAAGTATGGGAATAGGCTGTCGGAAGACTAGGACAGACTCTAAAAACGGGTCAGACACAGATTACTTGAGTTCACCTCTAAAAGCAAAATCGTGTATCTAAAGCAAGGGGTTTTTATCGGGGGCCCTTGGACCACTAATGGTCTATGGCCTTATTTTTGTGTGGTGCACTGGAGAATAGAAATAATTTTATTCTTCTCGCTTTTTTTTAAAAAAAAAAAGTGTCATATATTTGGAATAGTCCCACAAAAATTGTAAAAAGTTTTATTGTTTATTGGAGGGTAATAGAAAATGAAAATATTTCTGGAAATTCTTGACATGTACTAGCTGGGACCAGTCCCTCAGGGAGCACAACCAATACCATCTGCCACTCCCTACGGACTCCGTGCTGACGGGGAAAAGTGGCAGACCAGCTTCCGGCTTCTCCCTGGACCCCCGTAAGGGCGGGGATTGTAGTTAGGATTAGGGCAGCTAGTGTCTCAGAAGATAAAAGAGGAGCACCTGTTCTAAGGCAAAAACATGAATGTCACGACACTCCCCCATTGGAGAGTCAAGGGCGTGGTGGCAAAAACTCTCGCATCACACGGTGAGCGTTCGGGTTCGATTTCCGGCCCAAGGGGGGTGGAAACACTAGGGATGTTTCCTTACACCGGTTTGTCTCTGTTCACCCCTCAGTAAAATGGGTTTCTTGGTGTTAGTCGACTGGTGTGGGTCGCATCCTGGGACAAAAATGACCTAATTTGCCCCAAATGATTTGCATAACAAGGGACCCCTCTATAAGTAGTACGTCATTGTTGTCAGCTAGGACTGTATACCTTCTACATGTACTTGTAGAAAGAAAGATATTATTATTGGGAAAGACCAGGACAGCGAAATGGTGCAAATCTTACGAACCCATCCGAACGAACCAGTCCTGAGGGCTCTGTTGTGTTCTAGCCATTATACATAGCAGGTGTGTTTTATCCTCTGATTTTTTTTCCAGTTACAATTGCCCAAAAAGTTAGTGTCTGGCTGTATACATTCGTAACAGCTGTAAAGTTTTCTTTCTTACCATATTTATAATAATCATAACCTATATTAATGACACATGTTCATAGCTCATTTCTACTTTTTGGACTGACACCTATAAAAATTATTAATAAATAGATTAATACGAGATATAATTCTGTCCTAGGTTATTTAATGTTATGGTTGTATGTATTACTTTATTATTTCGATACTGTTATCTCTTGGCCACAGTGTGTCAGGGGATCCAGAAACAGTGAAAATAATATATGATATATGTGTTCACAATACATTATTTGTGCAAAGATATTAAGAAATGACTCAGTGAAACCAGTATAGGTCAACTTCATCTTACCTGTCTTGCTTCAGAGGTAGCAGATGAATTTGTTGCGTACTTCAGAGCTAAATGTACTGGTTTAGAAAACTGGTAGATTAGCCTGGTTCTCCTGCCAGCAAAACAAAAGTTTTAGTATCCCTGATGATCGCACGTGTCGAGAGGCTGCATAGTTTTGGAGAGACCTTAATCAAGTTTTGTATCACGTTTACGAGTTGTCGTCTGTTTGGGGAGTCGAGTTGTGTTAAGGTTCGTCAGTTGTCACTGGCAGATGGTCAAATCACGAATGTCTGATACGTTAGCAGACGTAAGTTTTAATCCAGGTGCATAAATCAATAGATAAAGCCTCTGTTCACTGTTTCTGTTGCTGGTTTTCGGTATGAAGATTCA